CCCGCTCAGACATTTTTATACAAGGGGGAGTGGTGGTGAAAATCAATCCAGCTTTAAGCGGGTATTTGCGTGTGTGTGTGTAGGATATAAAGCTTTCCATTTCATACTTGCTAGGTTTTTTTTAAAGGTTGTTCTCTAGTACCCTCTCCCCTCCTTGTATGAAGTGGAGCCTCGAACCGCGCGCTTTTCTAGCAAATAATTAGAATAATTTCCAGATAGGAAGAAAGAAAATAGAATTTCAACGGAAAACATGAACCGGGTGGTGGGCTTTTGATGGCAATGCCTCAAAGACACACGCGCGCCCTCGCTACCCTCTATCTTCCCACTTGCAGGTTCTTGGTTCTGGGGCAGGCATAGTAGGCAGGCCAGGCGGGAGCCTCCTCCTCTTCCACCAGGGCGGCCCGGGCAGCTTGGGCGCCTGTCGCGAGCGGGCCCTTTAAGAGCTGCACCAGCCGAACTGCAGTTTGACATCAGCCGGCCGGCGAGGGCGCGCCTGGAGCCGGAGCACGTGCCAGGATGTTTTATTGCCGCCGCGGCTGCGGCCGAGCCGGGAGGATGTGTGTGTGCGTGCGTGTGTGTGTGTGTGCGCGCGCGCCTCGGGGGCAGGGAGGCGGGAGGAGGGGCGGCGGCGGGCGGCGGAGCGCGGGGGCTGGTTCCTGGTCCCCGGGAGAAGCCAAGAAGGTAAATAGCAGCTGCTGTGCTCGAGCCTGGGAAAACCCCGCCCCCTGCCCCTGTCCCTGGCTCATTGGCGCGCGCTGCGAGTGTGTGTGGTGTGTGTGTGTGTGTATGTGTGTCCGGGGGCCGCCTCCTTCAGCCCCCGCCGGGCCTGGAATCCGTGGGGGCGGCCGGCAGGAGCCGAGCCCCGGCGCTTATTCCCTACCCCCTTCCCTGGCCAAGGTCAGCCCTTCCGGAGCGGGAGCGCACGCCTCGTCATGGAGAGGGGGAATTATTCCAACCCCCCCCTTCTTCCCCCAGTTTCGGGTTTGGGGTTTTAACTTGGCTGAAATCCTCTGTTGCAACAGCCCAGGGGGGAGAAGTGGGGGCCATCGGATTTGCTTCTTGCCCGACCCTCCACGCCGCGGTCACGGGGTGCCTGACCGCACTTAGGAAGCAGCCAGGTCAGCGTCTTGCCTCCGCTCAGCGGCTGCGGTTAAAGCGGCTTCGCACCGTCCGCGCCTTCCCCCGGTCCAAGGCTTTCGGGCAGCTCCCCCTTGTTGCACCCGGGAGGCCGCCGGCGGGCGGCCGGG